TTAACTTTTGTTTACCAATTTGCCCTTATCATTGGAATAAAATATTTTTTTTAATATTTTTAATTTCCTAAAATAAAGTAAACTAATCTTAGCCATTGATCAAGAAAATRGAYGGATGAGATTGGTTTACACGGTTTACACAAATGGGGCAAGTTTTTATTTGAACGCTCCTATATATATAAATTTAAAATGTTTAATATTACGAACTCATTGAGTAGTAATAAAAAATATACGTTTATACAATGTACATACAATATCATACATGACAGAGATTTACAACAATAAAAGGCGATTTGAAAAACATCATGGCCTGTCTACAGCCCATGAAATTTCAAGTTCGACCTCACCCCCTCACTACACCTCACACCTTGACTTCGAGTCTTCAAACACCCCACCACCTCCTCTCATTTATACCGCTCTACCCTCCCCTCCTTTCTCCAAAATGATGTGGGCCCTCTCTCTCTCTCTCTTAGATATAATAATGTTATATTTTTATCTATTTAATTATGTAATCAAACAATATAGACGAAAAATTGTGTGAGAAGAAGAATTAAGGTGAGGAGTGTAAGAAGAGATCTGGATCTTCGATCACTCGAATTAGTATTGATCTAATGGTTCAAATTGAGTCCTAAAATAAACTATGAATTAGCTTAGAAAGATATTTTCAATTGATCTTCAGTTATAATTGATTCAAGAATGAAGACATTTTCTTACCTTTTCATGGTAACTACTATTCTTACAGAAAACCAACTCTTTGAATACATTTTGATTATATACTTATGTTGTCATAATAATAGCATTCGTGTTCAAGTTTTATTGAACGTGTTGATTATGTCTGTAGACAAATTATTGGTACAATTAAACCTGAAATATCGTATTTAATTGAACCTAATTACAAGTTAATAATTCATAAAAATTATTTAGCGTTATTAATTAGCTTTTTAAAAACTAATCACATGAATACATCTGATATAATACAAAACAAAAACACAAATAAATATGTGAAAAGTAACATAGTAGCGTAGGAGTGGGTGCAACTCTCTTTAATAGAAAACGAGAGGAATAGTAAATCTAGGTTGGGCCGGAAATGGATAAGATTAAACCGCTTAGCTAGCTGTTATATTTCGACCTGTTGGATAAGAGTATGGTTAAAGAAAATTTTATCCATTTATCTGTTACCCGCACTACAACAAAATTAGGTTTATAGGATGTCTCCAATTTCTAAGCGTCCCAATATACCGCTTTATAGGACTTAATTTATAGAACTAAAATATAAAATGTTCTATCTAAAGACGTTGTAATAAGTTTATATGACGCTTTTGGGTGTCTTAACAAGTTTTTAGGACATTTTTAATACAAAACGTCATATTAGCAACTTTATATGACACTTTTGAGAAAGTGTCTTATAAACTCAATTTTTGTCGGACAGTTTTCAAATAGTGCTCTATAAAATTGATAATGAGACGTTTTATATTTGAAGTATCCTAAAAAACTTGTTAAAACATCAAAAAAAGGTCATAAAATCTTATTACAACGATTTTAGATAAGACAATTAATTTTCTGGTCTTATAAACTAAGTCCTATAAAAAGGTATGTTAGAACGCTTAGAAATTGGGAGCATCCAATAAACCTAATTTTGATGTTTAACCATATTATTATAGTTCAAAATTATTACTTTTTATCATTTATCTGTTACTCGTTTCTTTACCCCCTATCTTAGTGGGTAGGATATAAATATGGATAAGAGTTTTATGATATGGATAATTACCTGTTTCATTACCTGCTATTTTAAATAGATTGGATAACAGATTAAATCCTTAACCCACCCATTCCCAACCCTAAATCTAAGTCGTCATAATGTCACATATGAAATTGTTTAGATCTGAAACCAAAGCGTGACCAATACAAGTTTACAAATTAATAACGGGTATATATTCCCTTCTCATAACGAACATTTTACTTTTGTCACAACTGTTACAAAGTATCATTCATTTCGTTCGTTGACGTTACATAATAATTCAACCATATTAATTATCTTTTAAAAAAACTAAAGAAAACACATAAATTTTGAAGTATACCCCTTGATGTATCCCTGATAATCAGGGGCGAAGGACTTTTGGGGCAGGGCTCTTACGATTTTTTATCTTTTAGGTAGGTAAAACTTAATCCGCTATATTAAAAATTTATTTTTTCCGCTTCTCCTTAAGTACGACTACCCTGGTTAAAAGACATATGTTCTACTATTACCGGTAGTATATCAGATATATACTGAAAATGATATTTAAGTTCATAACCTCTAAATTATCATAAAAACTTTTAAACATAAAATATACCACTTGATTATTGGAGTTTAATGATGATTTGAAAATAATCTATAAAATTGAAATCATACTTGAAAAATGCATATTTAGATGAGAATGCATTATTATATATACTATTAATTTATGTAACAAGAAAAGGAATATATACTTGTGTGACATCGATAATAAACACTTTTGAGTGTTTGGATAAACAATTTATACCGGTGCCAACCGGTAATAAAAAGTTTTTGAAGAAGTTAAACCCTTCTAACTTATAATAAGTTGATAAGTGCTTTTATAAAAAAAAAAACATAAGTTGTTTCAAATAAGCAATCCCAAACACCTCCTTATTGGGGGTCGAATCATGGTTGATTGAAACCCACGACTTCATACATTTAATGATTTTAAACCAAGAGTAACAATAATATATTTGTCGGCAACATTTACTTGTAATTTTATAGACTTTAAATAACAAGCCAATAATTCGTAGGATTCATTTGATTCGGATGTATTTAGATACAAATCTTGAAGAACGGGTTGAGCCATCTCTATTCATCGATCTAAAACCATAATGATCACAAAATAATATTCTTCTTGCAACCCTTTTTGCCATATGAACATTTTTCGAAAGGCAGTATAAGATATCTCAATCTATACGTTGTTTATTCATCTTGCTTGATTCATGTCTGATAAGATGACAAGTGGCTTGTGTTCTTTTAGAATTATTTGACTTGTTCCGTCTGTAAAAATTATGATCAAACACCAATACGAGTATATATATATATATATATATATATGTATATATATATAACTGATAAATGTTTTGTAAATGAGATGATAAAAAAGTTATGAATTCAAACTTGCGAAAAATAAACACATTAATAAGCACATGAGAAGCTTTATTGTTGAGTATGGTTTTGTTGACGGTCCTAAAATGATGGGGATTGATTGGAAAGCATTTGTAGATTACGAAAAGTCTTACTAGATTCTCTCAAAACACCCATTGCTCATTCATTAGGGTACGTTGATACACTGAATATGAAATGAAACAAAGGTTAC